TAGATTTATTATTTCTGTCCTGAAATAAACTCTGCAAATCCAACGCTAATCCTCCTCGTTCTGTGCAAATTATGGGCATTAATCTGAGCAGTCCATTAACATGACACTGCCTGGTTTAAGTCTAGTGTTACTTTAACACTGCCTTTAACATTTCAATTTAATTTTTGGTCAAGTTCTAATAAAAAAATTGTATCTTCTGCTGCATGTTTCTCTACAAATTAGGGCATTTAGAAAACATTTTTTTTTTAAATTTATTTTCTTTAAAATTTCATGTCTAAATGTGAACTTTGTGTCATTTTTGGTCAAAAACGATAAAAAATCGACAAAGAATTTTTAAAATTATTTTGCAAAATTGTATCTTTTGCTGCATGTTTCTCAACAATTTAAGGCATTTACAGAACATTTTTTGAAAATTATTTTTATAAAGTTTTTTGTCAAAATGTGAACTTTGCATGTTATTTTTGGTTGAAAACTAAAGAAATTTCACAAAAATGTTGTATAATTATTTCTAAAAATGTTATCTTTACTTCCATGTTTCTTATAAAATTAGGCCATTTAGAAAAAAAATTTTAGAAATATTTTTGTATAAAGTTTTCTGTAAACATCTGAATTTTCTTTGTCATTTTTGGTCAAAAACTAAAAAAGTTTTGATGAACATTTTTGTAAAATTGTTTTTAAAAATATCTTTACTTGCATGTTTATCATAAAATTAGAGCTTATAGAAAACATTTTTAGAAATATTTTTGTATAAAGCCTTCTGTCAGTATGTGAAATTTTTGTTTCAAAAATTTTTTGGTCAAAAAATAAAAGAAAATTGATGAAAATTTTTAGAAAAATTATTTTAAAAAAATTATCTTTATCTGCATGTTTCTTATAAAATAAGGACATTCAGACAACATTTTTACAAATATTTTTGTATAAAGTTTTCTCTAAAAAACTGAGTTTATTGTGTCATTTTTGGTCAAAAACTAAAACGTTTTGATGAACATTTTTGTAAAATTATTTTTCAAAATTGTATCTTTTCAGGCATGTTTCTCATACAATTAGGGCATGTAGAGAACATTTTTGGAAATGTACCCCAACCCTAACCCTAACCCCAAGACTAACCCTAATACTAACCCCAACCCTAACCCCAACCCTAACTCCAACACCAACCCTAACTCCAATACTAAACCTAATCCTAAATCCAACACTAACCATAACCCCAACCCTAACCCCAACACCAACCATAACCATTACCCTAACCCTAACACTAACCATAATCCTAACCCCAACCCTAACCCTAACCATAATCCTATAACCCTAACCCCAATTCTTGGTCAAAAACTAAAACATTTTGATGGAAATATTTGTAAAATTATTTTTCAAAATGTTATTTTTTCCTGCATGTTTCTTATAAAATTAGAGCGTTTAGAGAACATATTTTCTGTCAAAATGTTAAATTTTTCTCTCATTTTCGATCAAAAACTAAAAGACAAAAAAATTGGTAAAATTATTTTTCAAAATTAAAAATATTGACAGAAATCTTTGAAAAATTATTTTTTTAAATGTTATCTTTACTTGCATGTTTCTCATAAGATAATGGCACATAGAGAACATTTTTACAAATTTTTATGTTTAAAACTTTTTGTCAAAATATTAGTTTTTCATGTCATTTTTGGTCAAAAACTAAAAGAAAATTGACAAAAATCTTTGAATTTTTTTTGTTAATAATATCTTTACTTGCATGTTTCTCATAAACTTTGTGAACATAGAGAACATTCTTACAAATGTTTTTTTTAAAGTCTAAAATGTCAGTTTTTCATGTCATTTTTGGTCAAAAACTAAGAAACTTTGATGAAAATGTTTGTAAAATTATTTTTCAAAATTGTATCTTTGCCTGCATGTTTCTCATAAAATTAGGGCATTCAGAGAACATTTCTACAATTTTTTTTGTATAAAGTTTTCTGTCAAAATGTGAATTTTGGATGTTTCTCATAAAATTAGATAATTTAGAGAACATTTTTAGAACTTTTTTTCCAAAAAATTCTTTGTCAAAAGCTGAACATTTTGTGTTATTTCTGGTCAAAAATTAAAAGCGTTTGACAAAAATTTGGTCCTAACCCTAAACCGTAACCCTAACTGTAACCCTAAC